GTTTGTTACGAAACAATCTCAAAACAACTCGGTGAGGCTAAACGCCGAAAAGTTCCTCTATTTTAACTTGTGCTTATTCGTCATCATTTGATTAGCAATAAAACGCGTATACTAATAGATTAGTGTATAACTCATTCAATTTTACTATATTTTTTTGACTGGGAAATTGAAGCAAATCTGATGTCGCCATATACTCGTATCATCTAGCGCCGCCACTGTCCAGCATTTCAGTAGCTCCGTGGTAAAAATTCTGTTATATTGTTGGAAAACCCCTCCTCCTAACATTAGCATATCTACTAATTTTCTTAGTAATTTTAATTATAGCTACAAATGCATGTTCACTATACTCAAAACACAAACTGTATGATAGCTCTTGAGCTATATGAATTAATGAGCCTCAAATGTTACTTTGTGCGATAATAGACCAATTAATTTTGCTGTCTTAAGTCCTTATTGTCTTTCATAGTCTTGAATAAATTCCAAGTATGCTGTTTAGTATACTAGATGCAGAGAAATATTTCTATAAGTTGATACCTTTGTAAAATCTGGGACTGCAGACAGTTATTATCGAAGTTGAATTTCGTTTAAATATCGTGACGTTCTAGCCTTTCAACAAAACTCTCACAGGACTCTCTACCAATGTAGGCATGCTATATAAAAAACTGATCAGTAACACGACAAACTTGTAGGTATAAGCAACAAAATAACAACAACAATAACGGCAATAAACCCCTGTTAAGATCGTGTTGCAGTCACAGCGCTTAGCGTAATTAGGACTTGCCTTCCTTGGAGCTTGAGAAGAAAATAGTATAAATTGCACAAGAATAAGGTGCTATTCTTGTGCAATTTAGACTATTCAACAATTTACTGTTCTGGTATAAAATGCACAAAAGTTGCAAGTTTTTTTCCACGTAATTTTCTTGCATTTTTGCATTTTTTACGATGATGATTTTTAATATGATTCTTTTGGGTTGAGTTGTTAAAGTAATATTCAAATAATGTTAAAATAGTTGAATGAATATTTAAGGACTATAATTACAAGGGTCGCGAGCAGCCTGGTTTATTCCAAGAAGCAGAATGGTGTCACGTTAACTCTTAAAATTTTCCTAGTCAGACTACTTGACTTCCTTCAGTGACTCAATAAGTTGTATGAATCACTCCATGCTTCCACGATACAGTACATACACCCAATACTGAAGTACCCTCTGTTATCCCAACCTCCTTACAAGTCGTTTCTTCAACATACAATAAATGTTTGTACAATGAAATGAACATCTCTGAGATTCTTGGATTTCCAAGTACTGTTACGACGATCGCATTACGGATTTTTCGTTGTTTAAATATTGGCCTAACAGTAAATGTAGCAGAGACCGAAAAAAATAGACATCGACCGACAAAGCATCCTAATTGCTCGGTCAACACTATTCGAAACATTTTATGTGGGCTTCTTTTGATGTGTCTTTGTTACTAATCGTCTTCTGTAACTATTGTTCTTCATGTGTGTACCATTGGAAATAGATTCAGCCAGCAGACAGGCTGAATGGCGGAGTCAAGTAGAGTGACTCCGTACATCCCGCGAATCAATTTTTTTATACTGAAGTAGGCGAGTAGGATAAACATAAATATACTCAAGTAAAGCTGCTATAATAAGTTGAAATACTACAGGTTTAAGGACGACTCGGTGAAATCTTCGAATCTGACTTACAGGACCGTAAGCAACAAGTGTCAATAAACAAAAGGGTTTCTTCAGTCTCCAATCAGGGGTTCTGCAGGGCTCAATTTTGGGTCCGAATTTGCAACTAAAGGATTACTAACATCTTGAGCCCAGATTTGCCAATAACCAGAAAATACATAAACATAGCCAACAAGTAATCTCCTCCAATCATTAAAGTAAGTGAGACAGAAATCTCTCTCAGCCATGTACCGATAGAAGCACATGCTCGACTTCACTTTAATAAATGGAACGCACTGACATGTGAGGCGACTTGAAGTGAGATGAGATTATCTATGCTACAACTATTTAAAACTGTAATGACTCATACGCGTGATCAACACGTGATCAGAGCTCGATCCCGGCTTCCTTCCAGTACAGCCGTATAGCGTACGACATATGTCGTTTCTGTGGCTTTGCGGTGGTCAACAGCACAGACAGAGATGGAAATAATGGCTGATTGTTCTCCGCCGGTAGAACCAATGAAATCAAAGACGCGCCTCGATCGGCAGACTCATAGGCGTCGGCAACGCATTGGAACGGGTTTCGTTGAGCGATCGGGCATTGTGTGTTTTTATAAGAATTGTTGTGTGATTGTTATTGTTGTGGTTTCTGTGGTTACTGTTTTGGTTATACTTAACCATGGAGAGTACAAATGGCACGAGTGGAAGTACTGAAAGCCAGTGAACAAGTAGACGGCTTCGTAAAGCACTGAAGAGGGACGCGAAAGAAATCGTGCTCAACGTGTTCAATTATCTGAACAGAACTATGTCGCAGGGAGTTGCACTCGCGCGTTGTGAAAGTATGACAGACGTTCCAGAGTGGACCATTCGCAGGGTGGTGCATGAAAAGAAGAAAACTGGAGCTACTACTGATCCAAAGTTTAATTTGAAGGGACGAAAGGCCGTTAAATTGGATGACGATAGCAAAATGGCGTTAAGGCGAACCGTATATTCATTCTTCTTTAGGAATGAGATACCAACCCTCAAGGCTGTAGCTGCGATCAAGGAAAATGAAATTATACCCCAAATGAGCGTCGAGGTAATGAGGAAATCATTGAAGGTTTGTCAACAGGTCTTCGTGGACCGTCAGGGAAAGGTCAAAGATTGATCGTAACTCATATTGGTAGCGATAGTGGCCTTTTAGAAGAGTGTGACTTGATTTTCGTCTCTAAGAAAGGAGGTGATTACCATGACGAAATGAATGCCAGCTGCTTCGAGAGCTGGTTTCAAGGAGTGCTTCAGCGAGTTGAGCCCAACTCTGTGATCGTCATGGATAATGCTTCCTACCATAGTCGTTGAGCCGAACGTGTACCGACTATGGGATCTCGAAAAAGTGACATGCAGCAATGGTTGCGCGAAAAAGGAATCCCGTTTGACGATTCATGTGTGAAAGCGGAATTGTATGAAAAAATTAAACAGCACAAACCTGCGAACATTAGTTACGTGACTGATGGCCCGTCAATGTGGTGTCACTGTGCTGCGGTTACCGCCCTACCACTGTGAACTGAACCCAATAGAGCTCATCTGGACTCAAGTGAAGGGTTATATTGCGCGCCATAACACAACCTTCAAATTACCAGACGTTAAGGTTTTACTTGAGACTTCCATACAGCAAGTAATGCCCGAAGCTTGGCAGAATGCTATCCGTCATGTTGTGAAGGAAGAAACAAAAATGTGGCAGCTTGACCACCACATCGACACCATCATAGAGCCAGTTATAGTCAATTTCAACGAGGAAAGCGATAGCGACAGTTTATTACTGTCAGATGTAAGTGGAAGCGACGATGAATAAAGGTAATTCCCAAATTTTTGACTTACAATATGTTTCAAACCACTCTTTATTAAGCATGTGACAAATCTAGTTCACCCATGTTAAACATTCATACCCCGCCTATGAACAGCCGACTACTGGTAGTTAAGTGATGTTCACGTGAACATCGATGAGTCATTACAGTTTTAGATAGTTATAGTATAGTAAAGTGGCCAAAAGAGAAGCATATATTATCATATTTTTCGTAGCCTCAATACTCTGTAAACTTCGCCTTAAGGAAGTGACACCGACAGTGGCGCTCCCAGGATTTCAGTCTGCGAGGGGTAAAATGGAAAGTAAATTCTCAATGTGACGTACTGAAGTGTTATAATGATTTAACATTAAAAGCATGGACATATGCAGACATATGAATTTGTTACAGTAATTTCTGTAGAAAATACATTACAATTTTTTATTTATTTTGAATCATACGGCATAAAAGTGTAAATAGTGCAAACCATGCTCGAGCAATCTTCATATATTAAAACAAAAATGCAAAATAATATAATCTATGACAGTATTTTCTACATAACAATGTCAGACGAAACAACAAAAATAACAATAACATGTTACGACATCTATAAAGTATAAAACTGAATGTAAATCAAAATACAATTCTTAATCATGAGAAAAACACAAAAAATATTCATTGCATAACTACATTCTTTTAGCCAGTCTCAAAAAACAAAAACATAAAAACTATGAAACTACATCAGTTCCAGTCTCAAAATAAAACAATCATCACATTAGCTTATAAAGTGATTTGAACATAATTTGAACAGACTTTTATATCAATCTGCTGGCCAATTAATATAACCACATATCTTGATTGGATACTTTGGAAAAGATCATGGTAGTGGCTTAAACGTAAGTAAACCCTTAACTACAACTGCTTTTTTATTTATTGGCCAACAGAAGGGAGATGGATTTGAGAGACAACCTTATGCAAAGTTCAGGTGTTATCATATTACAAAATCAAGGCGCCTATTCTTTTTGCTGGCGAACCGATCTATGATTGTATTCACGTAATATCCCTATGCAGCTTTTATCCTCTTTAGATGGGAGAAACTCCTTTCAGATGCCGCAACACTTACCGGCAATGAAATAAATAATTGTAGGCATCTGTTAATTGAAGAAAAAATGTTTTCATCACATGATAAATACAGTGACATTCGACTGTCTATAATATCTTGTATACGTGACATCCAAGAGTCAAATTCTGCTTTTAATCTGGTACTTATTAAATGTTTGTTTTCGTTACTATTTAGTCCATGCAAATATTTAGAGATTGTTTCCATTACTTCAGCTTCAGTTTTTGAACTAAATACTGACGCAAAGAAAATATTAAAATTGTATATATTCAAAGATTCTTCATTGAACCGGTATACCAAATCCTGTAATATATTATCTAGCAAAGGGACATATAGGTTCAGTGTGTAATGATTTTCCTTATCAGACGTAACTATGTTCGGTCTGTTCATTTGCCTGCTTGTTATTTTTGGCACAGTCAGTTCAATACCCAGGGTTTCATGTGATTTCATTATAGATGCGAATAGTATTATGTATTCTAAAGTGTTTTTCGAGATTTGCGCGTGTACAACTGAAATAATATTTCCTATGAGTTTGACAGCGTATTGTTTGTCAATTGTTTTTGATTGTAAAATTATACTCAGGTTGACTGTTAAAGCTAATATATCACACAAACACTTTAGTGATACGATAAGTTGGGTGGAAGTAATGGCAGTCTTCAAACACTCCGCTTTTGAAGAAGCTTCGCGGTCTTTCCAATTTGATATAATATTTAGTACCTCTACAATTTTTTCAAATTTGCTGTCCAATTGCAGCACAGAATCATGTCTCTCGGTCCATCGTGTTTCGCACATACTATGAATTTGATATCCGTCTAGTTTTCTTTAAGCGGATGCTTTGAAAAACGCAATTACTTCCCTCATTATACCTACAGGATTTCTTACTGCTTGGACACTGCTGCTTTTTGAAATCGAAAGATTCAAGGCATGATTTGCGCATGGGCTTTTTAGAACAGTTGGCAAACATTTTTGCAATTCCATTACAGCGCCTTTTTGTTCACCTAACATGTATCAGTACCAATGCCCACACATAGTTTTGAGTCTAAGTTATTGGTTTTAAAGAAATGCTTGACTGTTTGCGCAAGAATTTGACCTGTGAGTTTGGGCTCCACTGTATCTTCATCAAAATTTGAGTAGCAATCCACAAATCCCATGAAGTCCTCGTAAATACGTTTTTGATAACAATACCGCAATACGATTGACATTTGTGATTTATGACTAATGTCTGTAGTTTCGTCAAATGTAATACTGTAATACTGACTTTGCCTGACGCGACTTAAAACAATATCCAAGATTTCTTCGTCACAACATTCTATAATTTCATTTTGGATGCGGCTGCTTATGTACGTAGCATGCGCTTTTGAGCTCTCTAAGTTTTTTTTAATAAATTGTCGCCGCTCTCGACTCTAAGCCGTATTAATTCTCTAAAATTCCCTTCATTATTAAGGAAATCCTCGTGATTCGTGCTATCATTAGAAAAAAGTCGTCCCCTATCTCTGTGGCCTCTAAGTGGTATATAGGTATTGGCCTCCTAAAAAAATATAGATTCTATTCTAGGAGTCAATCTTTGCCGATTTTCTGATACTTACTAAATTCGCTCTGAACTTATTATATTTCTTATAACATTCTCTGGAATTTCGTAAGTTTTTAAAAAGTTTGTAGCATTTGAAACTGCTTCTGTATGATATATTGAGTTATCATGTGTCTCGCAATCACCGGTTTTGCCATACAATTTCGCAAATTTCTTAAAAACAAAATTTCTTAACTTCTTGCAATTTTCAAAAACTAAATATATGATTTGACATCTCGGACGAACGAAAGGCACTGAAGTGCTTATATACAGGGACTTCTGAGACAAAATAGGCATAGATGATAATGATAGCTGGAGTATGGACCAAACACTTCCTAATTGAAATTATATTAAATTTCCATTTTTCCGTCTGTCATTTTTTTAGACACGATTCTTTTATAGTATAAAAATTAAAAACAAAAAAAAATAATTTTCTGGCTTATGCGTGGAAAATAAAAAATCAATAGAACATAGAAAATAGCGTTAATACCAACCAGATCAACAAAAATCCGCTTGTTCACTTCTTAGCCAAATTTTGTTGCGGAGAACGGACTGGTGTAGAATTTAGACACTAGACTAGACCATAAAAGACTAGACTATACCTGTTCCAATAGGAAGAAGCGCACACCGTTGCTGTTGGTGGGAGAGTAGTCGCATCCGCACTGAGCGTATTGGCAGTGTTGCCGCTATCCTTTCTTAAAGTTACAAATTTTTTTTATGAGACGTTTACTTTATACCACCTTTTCAAAGAGTGCTCGAGTCGTCTGGGAGGGTAATTACCCCCTTTAGCCACCCCCCCTCCTCCCCGTGGGAGCGCCAGTGGACACCGATCATTCGTATAACCTTCCTCTAAACAGCGTTATGTACCTGTTTCTCTTCACATTCTAAAAGGTTTTAAAATTTGTAATAAGTACCTTCCATACGAATGCAACATTAGCCGAATGGTGTTAATGGCATATCTAAGCGCATCAGTAGTTAACAGTACACAGATTAGTAGGTATTTCCAATCAATATGGTGCGCAGGTAATTCACTGAAAAACGGTAAAATCTCATGCGAAACCGCTATCAAATCGTTGGAATTCCGTAGACGCTTAAATATTCACACCAATTCATCAATTAAAACAAGGACATGCGGTAGTTACATATGAATGTAGTATTTAACCTCTATTTGTAGGCTCATTGATCATTGCTATGTAGAGCAAACTCGTAAGGTATGCATTATAAAAAATTATTACTTATGAGCATTTACAAATGGAAAATATAAATTTATTGGAGTCGGATGGATTTTTGAATAAAGTCAACTTATGCGAAAATTTTTAAAAAAGTGAAACGGATCGATAAAACTCTATCACTCAAAATTTAATTTCTTTTTTTATACCGAAGCAACCGCGCAGGTAGAAGCCTAAATACCAGAGCACCGAGGCAGTTATGAGAAAGGATCTTGAAGAAATTTTGTACTCCGATTTTCAAACTGCCTGAGATTAGTAAAACTGGGAAAAGCCTCCGCAGGTAGATTTTTCCACAATTTCGATACCCTAGTGGCAAAGGAGTGGTCGTATCGGCCAGTTCTCGATGGACGAGGTTCGAGGCGGGTCTGTCAGGCAGGCACATCGCGCTGCGGCGTCATCGAGGAGAGCAAATGGAAAATATAAATTTATTGGAGTCGGATGAATTTTTGAGTAAAGTCAACTTATGCGAAAATTTTTAAAAAAGTGAAACGGATGGATAAAACTCTACCACTCAAAATTTAATTTCTTTTTTTATACCGAAACAACCGCGCAGGCAGAAGCCTAAATACCAGAGCACCGAGGCAGCTATGAGGAAGGAGCTTAAAGAAATTTTGTAATCCGATTTTTAAACTGCTTAAGATTAGTAAAACTGGGAAAAGCCTCCGCAGGTAGATTTTTCCAAAATTTCGATGCCCTAGTGGCAAAGGAGCGGTCATATCGGCCAGGTCTCCATGTACGAGGTTCTGTCAGGCAAGCACATCGCGCTGCGGCGTCATCGAGGAGAGCATTTAGGAGCAGAGCCCGTTGACCCAGCGGTCATCGTGCATAGATACCGTAGTCGGGGCGGCAGCTCCCCAAACATGTGAGCAGTACTCAAGGATAGGTCTCATCTGGGCCTTGTTCAGAGTGAGGATGTCACGTGGAGAAAAGTATGTATTAGCCCTAAACAAATAGCCTAGCTTTTTCCCAGAAGTTGTCTCTATTGACGAGATATATGCAAGGCAGGTCAAGTCCTCGGTTATCTGCCAGAATTAATGGTTCTTTGATAGAATTTGGACAAGCATCGAAATCAAATTAGCGCTTGGGCGCTTCTTGTTAGTCAAGGTAACTGCACTGTGTTTTGGAATTTAATTCCTGTATTAGTTCTCTTTCAAATACGTTTTTCTCAACTCATGACTAAAAAATTAGGGATAATCTTCAAAAACACTGAAAATGGATGCCAAACGTCAGTCTAGATATTAAAGTAATTTTGTCTAGAAAAGAAAAAGCCTATTTTTTGGCCATTTTTTATGAAGGTATTATACTTGCTATACTTAGAATAAAAGCTTAGCAAGAAAAATTAATGTAGCTTGTTCAAGATATTCGAAAATTCGACGTGCTAGTGTTAGTCTTAAAAACGAAAGTCTTCGACTGAATCCCAGAACTACTAAAGAACCCTCAAATATCTACGAAACCTAATTAACAAAAAAATCGATCTGAAAACTTATGAGAAATAGGCTTGAACTGCTAAGGATATTCTAAAATTTAATTATTGTTTTTACATCTCTCAAATTTCTGATCTCTTACGTTTGGATGTTGGAATATTAAAAAAAAATCTCTGACCTCGACGTCGAGGTAATATCTCAAATATTCACTAATGCAGAAGCAGTACGTTAGATTAGATGATCCTTAATGTATTTACTTTCCGTACATATTTTGTAGGATGAGGCAAAAAAAAAAGAAGAAAAGGTATTACATCTTCAAGCTTATAAATATTACGAACAGGTCTTGTCGAATAGGCGGCATCTGTTGTGCGAAAATGAAACCACAATCCGGGAACCAAAGCACCACTCGACGTGGTACCACTAAAGAATACTGCTGGTTCATGTAGTACGCTGTTATCACGTATCGACAATAGATGGCACTAGATATATGAGTGCAACGACTATCCTCAAGTAGAATCCAATTTCGTCTACCCGTGTACCCCTACAAAACTGTGTATTAGACCGAACCGTGAAAGATTTTGCAAGATAATATGAAAATTAAGAGAGGATGGCGTGTAAACTGAAAAATACATGAACATTTTGATTTTTTTTATTTGGGATATAAACGAGAAAAACCTCCATGCAAATTCTATGTCCACGATGCCTTTCAATAGCTCAAACTGTTTGCCGATTGTTCTTCATGGATGTATCAAGAAAGGTCGGCCAAAAAATCCCGAACATCATATAAAATTCTGACATGGCCAGTTCCTTAATAAATGAATACTCTATCAATGCAGGTACCACGCGCTGTCCTGCAAAAATACTGACAAGTTCAACCTTTATCAAAACAAAATACTAAAACACGAATATCGTGTCAATCATTCGTTGATACTTCTATTCGTATATTTATTAATCCTTTAATAATTTATACTTTCATGTTGGTACGTCAACTCACTGACCTATATTTTATATGACATAAAATCGATAAAAAGCTTTGGGCACGAAAATAATCCTTATGTTTCCAATATCCCTTGATTTGTCTTGATTAAAATTCGGGTCATTCAGCGAGCTTGAGCGCAAATAACCGCTGATGTTAAAAAAGCGCATTTTTTCCAAACACGCCCTACTTCTCGTTCCTTGAAAGATTCTGTGATTTTAAAAAGGCGCACAGTTTTTCAAATCATATCTAACCTACCAGTCTCATCAGCGCGTGTCTGTTTCTGGAGTTTTGTCAAATGAGCGCCTTGTTACTTCTGGTGTGCCTCAAGGATCTATCTTAGGCCCTTTGTTATTTTTAGGGATCCATCAATCAAGTAACTTGATATTTTCATACGCTACTTGACATGACTTGACAATAAAATTACTCGAAAAGTTAATGCTTGACTTGACTATTTATTGTTGTACTTGACTTCAGATCAAGCATTTTCAGTGTTCAGTCATGTACTGAAGAACGTCACTATTGTGACCGAAACGTTGACGAGATTAAAGAAGAATTTGAAATATATGTGGTTTCATTGTCCAGACGTCATGGAA